CATGAGACTGTGATGAGATATTATTGATTAGAAATTAGACAGATATACTTGGCAAGAGTTTGAACTTTTGCAGTGTATTCACAACTTACAGTCACAAAACTGACACTCAGCTTCTTTTGTAAATTCAAAAACTTTTTAATTTCACTGGAAGGTTTTTGGCTGCTGCAGACATGCATTAAAACTTCCTTATTTAAAATGCCAGCCTTTGCTTTTCACAGTCTGTTCAGTCTTCACATTGTTAAACAGAGATGAGTGTACAGCAGTTCCAATTGTAGAAGGGCTCCTCTCTTTTCCCAAGTCCTTATCAGTTCCCCTGACTTCTTTTCCTTAACTTTAATGTCATCAAGGTCAAGGAAAGAAGACAGGCGGTGCTTCTGGAACACACCTGTCTTTGTTTTTCTCTCTTCAGTTGTAGGTGGTGTGAACAGTGGATCCACCTTTTTTCCGCCCCTAGGTGGAGCCAAGTCTATGAGCTTGCTGCCACATATGTGCAAGCGATCTGTTCATCAAAGGCTGTGTACTTAAGTCTGGCTGTGACTGAGCGTCTCTGTCAGGTTGTTTTTATCACTATAGTGTATCCTGCGACCCTTATCTGCGCTGTCTTGTCAACGATGCAGTTTGCAGCTGGACCTTATGCCAGTCACTGACACAGCCTTCAGAATCACTGTTATGCTACTCCTTTTGCATAGTTATCTGCCATTCTGCAACTGCCCAGCTTTGCTAGGGTTTCCAGGCTGCCCAGACGACTCTTAAGAAACTCAAGGAAGTTTTCTCTGGGTGTTTGCTGTGCACCAGTGTTTTGGCCTTTAAACTTAGTACTTCCTTCTTTTCCATTCTTTTGATCTATTTTGGTAAAAATGATAAGTGGGGGTAAAATCTTGTGATGAAAATTTTATAAAAAGAAAAGAAAAACAAATAAAAACCGTTATTAACATGCGCTGAAGACCTTGAACTGAGACAAACACTTTATTGAAAGAGAGATCATAGCTAACAGATCATCTGGCTTTGTGCTTTTCAACCTTTTTGCACCCACAGGTGTATTATGAGATGAAGGTACTTTGATCACTTAAGCTTACTGAATCTGGGAGGGATCAGACTGGAATGAATGTGCACAACTACAAAGTTAGTTCCTAACATTTCTATATAAACATGTGTTATATCATGAATTAAATATGGATTTATGAAATTTGGAAATCCCTGATTTTTGTTTTTATTTTGCATGTCATTCCAACTTTTTGGTACCTGAGTTGAACAATAATAGTTTTGGGGGCTTGTATATTAAGGCATGGTTGTTACTAACTCATCAGGCTGCAGTTTCAGGTATGTTGCTTTACTATGTTGTTTTATTTTTTCTAGCAAATCTTTGTTGAGACTTGTTAGTATTTCCAAATAGATTACTGATTCATCACTCTTACATGTTCGGTGGCACACTGTGCGACAATGCATGTACTTCAGTTTTATTTGCTATTCTTTTAGTTGTCTTTCTTGATGAACCAGATTTTATCACTTCTTGCTCAACTGCAAGTCTCAACAGAAAGCACATGCCATGCAACGTCAAAAGACATTTTCATTATGCACACAAACAGACACAGAAGTGACCTTGAATCTATTTATCAATCCAGATGCATTATCAGGATGCAGTCAGGCAACACTGTCCATGGACTCCGGTCAAGGCCAACTCTTACACACACACACACACACACACACACACACACACACACACACACACACACACACACACACACACA